AGCCACCGAGATCTCGTAAAGCAGGAGAAGAAGTCTTCGGATACCTCGCAACTCGGTTGCCGCAGATAGACGAGACTCTTGTACGACAGTTCTCCGAAGCGGCCATCGTTCCAATAACGATGAGAACTGACGAGAAAGGATTGGCATACCGATGGATGACGCCAAAGACATGCTTCTTGGGAGAGTCCGAAACATACGGAGAGATCTTCGATTACGTCACTTTTGGCGACGAAGGAAATTTATTTCTACTCCGAGTCGGTTCGAAATCAGAACCGAACAGTCTTGAGCTTGCAAAAATGCTTGTTGACAGCCCCGCCAAGATTTTGGGCATTCTGAAAGAGAAGAAGTACCTTGATCTCTTGAGGAAGCTTTCGGAGAACTTGCAGACACTCAAGGCCGACAACGAACTTTGGCGCTCCATGCGATCGAAGCCGTTCCTCTTGGCTTATAGGACCGTTAATGAGTCTGCTAACAATCAAAAGCATCTTCTTGACGGTTCCGATGATGATGATGATGACGATAAATCTGTTCTTGAAGTTTTGCTTCAGACTGCTGGACGTGTTGTCATCAGCGATTCTATCCGAGAATATCAACACTTCCGTGAGCAACTATGCATTGCACCCCCTGATGATGCGCTCGAGGCGTTTTATGCTTCTCTGGGTGTTCCTCTTCTCAGCTCTCTCATTGTTGCAGAGCCTCGAATTGGTAACCCAATTCGCGATAATGCTGGAGCAGACAAATGGACTAAGCAAATACTCGAACGTGTTCGCCTATTCCTTTTCGACTACAACAAAGACAACATTCACCATGACGCTCGTTGGATCGAAAAGAGCGTCACGGTTGTCATGGTTGATTCCGTGTCTACTCGAATCTCTCTCAAGGGTTATCAAGCAGCATACTCTGAGAAGCGCACAGCATTCATGGCGAAAGAGCCTAGCAGAAGCTACAAATTGTATCTAACGTCAAAACCAAACCTTTACGACGTCAGTGGACAGCTTGTTCCATATCTGTTGAAACGCCCGAAGAAGACAGACGTCATGGCGCTCGAGATGATCTTCTTCTCAGATCTACGGGGATTGCGGGAGAAGGGGTACAATGTCAACAGGATTCTGAAGCAGAAGGAGACTGAGGCGCGTCTTGCAGAGGAGTACAGGCAGAAGCAGCATGAAGAGGAACGTCGGCAAAGAGAACAGGAAACGAGTTCAGTTCGAGACCAGACCAAGAGAGCGCTTGAAGCAACCACGAATGGTGAATCTCCTCCGCCTCCATACGACGACGGCGCTATCCCATCGACACCGTCAGATCGCGTCAAGAAGTCCAAGGCTGCTGCGATGCCGAACATGCCTGGTGCTTTCGGCTCACCTGAAGCAGACACTCCTGAGAGCCTAAAAGCAATTGCGAAGCAACAGAAATCACAGAGCTTCCTCTCTCGAATTGGCAATCAGCTCGGCAACCAGCTGGGCTACAATCCTAACACGAATGGCTCCACCATCAAAGCTCCGCAGCCCCAAGGCGTCACCAACACAGGAGACATCAACCGCAACCTCGCTTCCGCCATCCAAGCCTGCCGCTCGCACGATTCCAATACTGTTTTCAGTCAACCTACAACAAAGCAAGTCCAGGAAGCAAACAACGGAAGCTACTGCGACACCACCCCCGGCCAGAACATCGCCTTCTTCACCAACACCTCCTCCGGCGTAAAAGTCTACCTAGCAAACCATATCCTCGAGATGGGCGGCGCAAACTCCTTCGCGACCAACGAGCTCCCCGGGCTCGAGCGCTTCGCCGCGCTCCTCCGCGACTTAGTCTCTGTCTTCGAGCTCAGTCCTTCTAGCGTCCACATCTTCTTCGATGACGACAGCAGGTGCATCGCGTTCAACATGTCGGGCGCGCTGTTCTGCAATTACCAATATTTTAAGCAGCTGCATCTGCCGACGATCGGGATGGGAGGGGAGCAGGCAGTCGAAGCGCTGAGTTATTGGTGGATCACGCTGTGTCATGAGCTTGCGCATAATATTGAGAGGACTCATGGGCCAGGGCATAGCTTCTATACGGAGAGCTTTGCGAGCACATATTTTACGAGGCTGATGGGGAAGGCGGCGCAGTATTGATGAATTTGCTCTGACCAGTTGCTGGGCTCTGGAATGGGATCGTAATTGGATTGGGTTTCGTGGCGTTTCAGCGAGGGTAAACTTTCTAAGAACCTAGATCACACACTTTTCCTTTTCTAATTTGTTATGCATAGCGTCGAGAAGTAGATCGGATATTCTATTTGATGGTTTCCTGTTCAAACCTGCTATGCCAGTTCCATACGCCTTGGTCGTTTGGCGTGAATGCCATGAGCGTGATGACGCCTATGCCTGGATATATTACATAGTTTGCCTACGAGTGCTTCAAGCTTCGAATCGCAAAGCCCATCCGGCTCTCATCCCTTCTTCTTATCCTTCTCCTTCCCTTCCGTCTCCTTCTTCTCTCCCTCCTTCGCTTCACCGTTGACCTTCTTCTCACCGTCCTCCTTCTTGCCCTCCGTCTTCTCCTTCTCCTTTTCTTGCCCCGCCGCATCCTTCTCCTCCTGCTGCTGCCGATTCTGAATCTTATTCTCGATCAGATCATGGAACGCGGTAATCGCCCTGATCAAACTCGACAAATAAATCGCCATCAACTGATCGTTCGTCTTGACACTCATCGCCCTCGCCAGCTCGCTATTATCCGCCTCCTTCGCCATCGTTGGTCCACTGCTACCCACACCATTGCTCTGTCCGGGCGCTGGCGTACCACTCGGCGCAGCAGGCTTCATCGGCGTCGACAGGTTGGGCAGGAGGTTGAACACGTCCTGCAGGTTGCCCAGGATCGCGTGGTTGACGGGCAGGTCGCCGTCGAGCACTTTCTGGAGATATTGGCCGATGTCGCGAAGACGGAGATGGAGGCCTTGGAGGGACTGGAGCTGCGAGGTTATGCGGGTGGAGAGGGTGCCAACGGCGACGTCGCGGATATCGCGGAGGAGGTGCTCGACGCCGATTTCCTCGGCCTCTTCGGCTTCTATTATGGAGGGGGTGTGGACGAAGGTTTTGTTTGTTGTAGTGCCGTCCTAGAAGGCCTGTCAGCAATCGATTTTGGTCCGACTTGAGTAGTTAAGTCTTCGACGCGAGTAGCGAGATAGCAGTCGCTCCGGTGAGCATATTCACACAGCTAGCGAACCGCGAGGCGACAAAAGTAAAGACTCACATCCTTGATCTCCTCGACCGCAAAGTACGCATCCGTTGGCACGCCCACCTCCTTCGGCTGCACATCTATGATCACCAGCAGCGGGTTGGGCGTGTATCTCTTGAACAGCTCGTTGATCTCGAGATCCGACGCTCTCAACTTGGGACCAGAGTGATACCAGCCGATCAGCTTCTCGCGCGCGTTGACCTTCTTGAACATGTCGTTCATGCCCTCGACGTAGTTGTGGTCGAGGAACCATACTGATGGGTCCTTCTCGTCTTCTTCGAAGGGGACTGTTTGGGGTCGGAGGCGTTAGCTATCATATATCTCATATGCATAGCGATATTTGGAACGTTGGGGAGAGGAGAATATACCCGCAAAGCTATTTGACACCCGCACATTCTTGCCATCGTTCTGCCCTAACAGCACGCCAACGACTCGTTTCCTTGTGCCTTTCGCTGAGCGGCCGTAGTGATCTGCGACGGAGAGGAGCACGAGAGGCGCGACGGAGACGTTTCGGTTGACGAGCGATAATGTGTCGGCGGTTGTGGCAGGCATGATGATGGAGAGGAGGAAATGGAGAGGATTATTTGGGGTCGTGTGAGGATTTGGAGGAGAGAGGTCGATAGAAGGCAGTGGAGTGCACGCGGCTCTGGAGTTGAAGCTGCAAAGTGAAAGCTCGGACTCTGATTATTCAAGACCCTGGTCCGCGGCCTGATTGGCTGTATGTTGAAGATGTGTCTTGAAGCTTGATGAAGCTCAAGACACTTGCGACGTCGACTCTCTCGCGCTCACGGGAAATTTGATTAAGGCGCGTCTACAACAGAAGAGGTCCGGACGGTGATGTTATAGTACCTCAGGATATCCACGACCGCCTCCCACATCCCTCCCACCACCCAAAACATCGACACGAGACCAGCCAACGACCCTCCAAAGCCCTCCTCACGATCCATAAACCCCGTCAATCAAGTCAAAATGCTCTCCGCCCTAGGCTCCATGCAGCCGCGGCAGCTCGCCGCACAAATCCTCAACTTCGCCCTTGTCCTCTCCACCGCGTTCATGATGTGGAAGGGCTTGTCCGTCTTCAGCAACTCGCCCTCGCCTATCGTCGTCGTGCTATCTGGATCCATGGAGCCGGCGTTCCAGAGGGGCGACCTGCTGTTCCTCTGGAATCGCGGGATGGACACGCAGGTTGGGGAGATTGTGGTGTATAATGTCAAGGGGAAGGATATCCCGATTGTGCATCGGGTTGTGAGGAGGTTTGGGGGAGGGTGAGTGGTTCTTTTCTTTGATACTGGGGGCGAAGGGGTGAAATAGAGAGGGACGGATGCTGCATAGAGGGACTGCGTTTGAGTATAGTCGGGAAGGATGCTAACGTCTTGTCTGCATAGTGAGAAGCCGCTGCAACTCTTAACGAAGGGAGATAACAATGCAGCCGATGATACAGAGCTTTACGCAAGGGGCCAGAGGTTTCTCAATCGCGAGGAGGACGTCATTGGCAGTGTGGTGGGATTCATTCCATTCGTGGGCTATGTGACTATTCTGCTGAGCGAATATCCATGGCTAAAGACAGTGATGCTGGGGCTGATGGGCCTGACAGTTGTGTTACAACGAGAATGATGGGATAAGGTGCAGGACCTTGTGGATGAGACTTTAAGCTTTTACTCTAAGCCTAAATGATTAGACGTGCATTGCATGGCGTAAAGGGCAATGGGAAGCGGAAAGCAGGGTGAATTTGGCGTAAGGCTGATTGCCAACATATATATATGAATTTTGAGTTCCAAACCATTAGATTTGCACAATTCGTCCAGTGGTTAGGATTCTGCCTTCCCAATAAAATATATTGGTACAGGCAGGGACACGAGTTCGAATCTCGTATTGTGCATATTTTTTTGCCATTTGCCAGCCCTTCGGCATACTTTGGTATGTCTCCTTCATTTTTGCCACGTTCATAGCTAGGCTCAGTGAATCAGATGCTTCATGATTCTGATTCAGTTGAAATTGGGCTTGGACGATGGAGATGGTGCCCTGCCAGCTCATCAATTATGCAAGTGGCCGTCTTGGAAACGTGGTGCGAGGTCGATCTGATAGGACGGCAAGGTAGGCAGCAGCACCCTTACGGACATGAAGTAACACGGAGAAAAGTAGTGCGTGAGCGTCATCTAGCTCTCGTTCATTGCTGTTCACCTGCTAGTGTACAGAGAGCCAGAAAAATCATCCATCATGATAAGCCAGCCTGCCCATGGTCTTTAGAAAGCTATCGAGGCCTCTCCACTGAAAGAGTAACTGAAGAGAAGCCGGCCGATGCATTTCAGGATATCGGGCACAATCGTTGCATCCACCATGAAAGAGCAAAAAGAAACCACATAAGAGATGCCAATCGTTCCTGTGCCAGGCGCCTTGCCCGCGCCTGCTTCCTGAAAGATGAGAGATAGAGCTGTCCGCATGCCATTATGGTGTCGACCTAACGTTCGTCTGGAAGGATCATACCGAGCATCCACAGACTATGGTCGTTTACGGGCTGCTGGCTTGGGGATCTACTCTTCGTCTTCATCTTCTTCGGCAGCATCCTTGTGAGAGTTAGTGTGTTTTTAGAGGGATTGCGCGTGAACCACTGACAGCATTGTAGTCCTGCTTCTCCTTCTCATAGCGAGCCTTGTCGGCCTTAGCCTTGGCCTCGTAAGGACCCTTCTCCTTCTCGGTGAGCTCCTTCCACTTCTCACCGAGCATCTTGCCGACCTCGCCTGAAAAGCGCGTCAGCAATGCGGTTAGGACGCGTAGATGACGTAGAAGTACTCACCGAACTTGATGCCAGGGTTGTCCTCGCGAACCTTCTCACGGTTGTCGTTGGCAAAGAACATGTAGGCAGAGAGGCCTCTCTTGGGCGCGTTGGGATCTGTCACACTATTAGTAACCAATACCGAGATGGCGCGGCAGTGAGGAACAACGTACCCTTCTTCTTCTTGCTGGAGACGGCCTTGGCCTTGCGGGTGGTCTTTTCCTTAGGCATGGTGGAAGCTGCGATACTTTAGTTGGTGTCCGTGGCGAGATTGATGTCGCACGGTGTTGTTTGGAAAGGTGAGTTTGGAGGGGGATGTGTAATATTAAAGTTGCTCGGAAGATTAACGCGACTTCAAAGGCAAAAAGCGCGTGTTGTGAAGAGGGATGACGCGATGTGTTGATGGGTGTTGTGGTGGAGAGAGCAGTATCGCGAAAGCTGCCCGGGCGCAAGGAAAACAATGCCAATGGCACGGGAAGAAGCTTCGGAAGCTGCAAGAAGGGTGAAACTTACATTCTGGAGGTACGCGACCGGAATCTGATCAGAAGTTTTCCACTGCGACAGCAACAGATGTTAGTGGTGTTTACGTGACGTGCGGGCGTCGAGAACGGTGACGGCGACGTCGAACGTGGATTGCGAAGTTAGAGGCAGAAGAAGGGTGATAAAGCGAAATCAAAGGCAAATGAAGCCGGATTTCAAGTCTGAAAGCTGTTCTGTTGTGGGGGGGGAAATTGCAAATTGGGGCGTGTGGTCATTGCCTGGGACTACTCACCAAATGGGTTTGTATGGGCGAACTGCTAACAAAGTTACCACGCAGTGAGGACTCAGGAGGAGCGCAGTGAAGGTTTGGTGAGGAGAGTTGGGGGGAGCCCACGCACGCAAATGTAGGCCAGCGCAGCCTGCCCTGCCCTGCTCCTGCCTGCCGCGCGACGGACTAACCAGTCCGGCCGCCGCAGCCTAACGCCGGATCAAAACATTACGTCACGTGACGCCTGTTCGCGTCATTCCTCCCTGCCCCTTCCAACTGCCTAACAGTGCTGTGTAATCTTTGCTTGTCAGCGCTGCCTCTTACGCCCGTACCGTGGGCATGTCGCGCGCTGCGTTATCTAACACGGCTGGGCCAATCACTCGCCGCCTCGCACGTATTTACAGAGCCAAGCTGGTGCTCGTAAGCATGCTGCGAAACGGGGGTACAATCGAGCTCAGCTCAGGCTGGCCCAGTCCAATGCACGCTGGATAAGGCTCCCTTTCCTGATGTCTCGCCCACTCCGAGATAACCACCAGCCCTCCCAGCCGAGGAGTAGCACTCTCAAACTGAGGGCGAGCAGCACAGCTGTATATGTGAAGGCTTTGAGCATGCAGTTGTCTATGGAGCTGGCAAGCTCCGAAGCCTCCAAAGTTCCAGCTTGCGTGACTGTATTGGAAATCAGTGCTGTGGGAGGCAATGTGGCCTCCTCTCTACTTCACATGCTCGAACGTGCTCCCCTCTGCAAAAATCCACAGACCAGGAAACTTAGATCTCTCCTTCACTCTCCTAAATCTTCAGATTTCGTGCCCTTCAAACCATCACGATCACATCGATCCCCACTTGCATTCTAGTGTGAAACAAAGCACACGAAATGTCAAGCCCAATGACTGATGTTGCAGTTGAAACGGGAGCCATATGCTCTACATCCATTGCACAGAGCTAAAGAAGTAGTGAAAAAGCTACTCAACTTGAAGGTGGCCACTGACTTTCAAAATCCTTCCACTTCTCAATACCCTTTACGACCAACTCATCAACCAAGTCACGAATGACGGTAAGCCTTCAACTTGCGATCTTCCTTCACCCTGGGAAGCTTCTCTTCTTGATCACTGCTCCTGAGCTCTTGACTGCTTCAACCACCTGCTGCTCAGAGTCCCACTTACTTCACTCTCAGGTCTGCTCCTGCCAGAAGTCATAGCATCACAGCAAAGATGGGCTCAATCGGCTCCAGCTCTTCTGAGGTTTGTGAACTTCAACAAATACATGCCATACATATGTCTCATCCTAACCCATCAGTCAGCCTCGACGGTACTCAGACTTCATTAACCCCACCATGCCCTACTCGAATGCATTCACTACTGGCTCGCACTGGCTGTTTGACTACAGAGGTAAAAAATGGCCAATCATAGTGCCTGCCAAAGACATGATCCCACCAGAGGTCAAGAGAAAAGACCCCGGAGGGTACTCGATTCCGGTTCTGCGATACGGCAAATACGACTTCTTTTGGGCCCAACCAAACGACCTCTTAGAGTACGTCCCATATTCTCGGCCTCGAGCCAGAGAAGGAAATCACAATACGCCCGAATCCCAGCAAACAGAATTTGATCGTGCGCATGAGGAGGGTTTAGGCATGGAAAACCTAGACTACTTCCGATCTGCACTCTACGCTAAAGCATTGGCTTCTGGCAAAATAAGACAAGATTCCGTGGAGCCAGTACGCAAGCGAAGCCACGAAGAAGCTATCACAAATGGCTTGGAGACTAACCCGGTCGTGGTCTTGGGCGATAGCGAAGATCTTTCTAGCCAGGAAGGCGAAGACCGGATATTTAGATCCCCCTTTGCAAAGAAAGTTCGATTCGAAGACTACGAAGTCGACGACAGCGAGCCGGAGGAGGTTTCGCCAAAGAGCGAAACAACTACTCAGTCGATTGAGGACAAGTTACCACCACCGAAAAAGATCAAACTAAATTTGTCTCAAGGTGAGCATAAGCTTGTCATTAACACGGAGAGGATACCATTGAGGAGACGCGATCCAGTTTGGCTGGGATTCGTTAATGTTCTACCAGATGAACGAAGGGATTCGAAAGGAATCATCGACCTCTCGAACAGAAAGGTGGGAGATGAGGCCGATAGCAGCAAAGATTGGCGTTTCAAGAAGCCGCCACTGCCAGCCAAGACTCCAAAGATCAAGGAGCCTTTACCAATTCCCCGGAGTTCCGGGACTGCAGCGAAGTCCGTTGAGTCGGACAGCGATGACAGCGAGGAGGAAGAAGATGAGAACACTCAAAGAGAACCCATCGACCTTCAAAAGATTGCCAGAGATCACTTGCCGTAAGACTATTTGATCAAGTATCAGAGACAAACCGCTGTAAAAGGCTGACAATTTGCAGTGAGGACCCTGACATGGCGCTCATGCTGATCGGCGACACTCCAGGTGTCTTCCAAGTTCCCTTCAACAAGATCAAATCGAATAGGTATCTGGATGAGTGCGCGGCACCGATTGATGTCGTCCTGGATAACGCCGTGATGAGAAGGGTGTGGGTGGTGTCTCGTGCTGCTTGGGATGAATTAAATCCGTCCGCCTTCACTCATATAGCAGCATATCTCCGACGCGGCGACTTCGAGCCGAAAATCGTACCAAACGCAGCTGGCGAATACATTCTCGAAGACGTCTACGAGGAAGAGGAGCGGTTCTCTGAAATGGAAAACCTTCCGAGGATCTTCGTGTTAGCTCGCGACCTACAAATCTTTGACATTTTCACGAACCTTTCCACGCGCTTTAACTTGTTGAAGCCATGGCCTCCAACATTGCTGTTGTTCATGGCGAGAGCAGTGCTCAGAGAGGATTTCACCGGACACGATGGCGATGAAGCTATGCGAGACCTGATAAAGGATCACATCGCACGGGATTTTTGGGGAATCAACCAATCGGATAACACGAAAAATCTTGAGGGCGTTATGGAACTCGACCGTCAATGGTCTTCAGAGATGCTGAAAGACCTCGCAGACATCTATGCCGGTAACGACAAGAAACCCGACTTCACTGCTGGCTGGGGCAATATGCTGACAGAAGAGCCTCAACAATAGGCGCAGAAGAAGAGCCTGTGTTGAACATCCTGAACCTCGAAGCGAGATACTGCCTCTATATGAGACAGAAGGTCAGACAACGCCAGCAGGAGCTTCAAAGGCTGTACCCGAACGGCGACAGCGTACCATCGATTTTCAAAGGGGCAAACGAACCGCCCAAGACCATGGACGATGCGAAGTCCAGGGCACCAACGAAGCACAGGAGAGTGAGCTTATTGAGGAACTCGAAGAATGCTTGGGACCCGACTTAATGGTTTGGACTTATTCAACCTTT